CGAACTCAGTGACTCTAGGACTGAGGTGAGATATCATCATCATCATCATTTTAACCACAGGACACCCACTGCTGAACATAGGCCTTCCTGCTACCTTTATGAGGTCGTTGATCCACTTTGTGGATGGACGTCCTATGCTGCGCTTTCTGGTGGTACGTGGCCTCCACTCCAGAACCTTGCTGCCCCATCGGCCGTCAGTACTGCGTACTATGTGCCCTGCCCATTGCCACTTCATTTCAGTCATAGGACGTCCACTGCTGTACATAGGCCTCCCTCATTGATTTATGCCCGTTTTCACCATCAATCCCTAATTTTTAAGTGACCCCTATGGTAAGGTAACACATACAGGAAATTTGTTTTCAAAGTGGTCACTTAAAAATTTGGGATTGATGGTGAAAACGGGCATTAGTGGTCTATATCCAACGCGCCTTTCTGCTACCTTTATGAGGTCGTTGAAGCACTTTGTGGATGGACGTTCTACGCTGCGTTTTCTGGTACGTGACCTCCGCTCCAGAACCTTGCTGCCCCATCGGCCGTCAGTTCTGCGTACTATGTGCCCTGCCCATTGCCACTTCAGCTTGCTTCAGGTGAGATATAATAATGTAGTAATCAGGTGAGTACAAGCAAGAGAACGTCCGCATAATGGACACGGAAGACCTGCCGCCGCTGACACTGGACCGCATGTTCGTGAGGATGCCTCAGAGCAAGGCCGGCTGCTCCTTCTGCCAGTACTTCNGGAGCTAAGCGACTCTAGGACTGAGGTGAGACATCATCATTTCAGCCACAGGACGTCCACTGCTGAACATAGGCCTCCCCCAATGATTTCCACATCTCTCGAATGGTAGCAGCCTGCATCTAGCGCCTTCCTGATTCGTAAATGAAAGTCCCACGGTGCGTTTGCTGGTACGTGGCCTCCACTCCAGAACCTTGCTACCCCATCGGCCGTCAGTACTGCGTACTATGTGCCCTGCCCATTGCCACTTAAGCTTTCTTCAGGTGAGATATAATCATCATTTCAGCCACAGGACGTCCACTGCTGAACATAGGCCTCCCTCATTGATTTATGCCCGTTTTCGCCATCAATCCCTAATTTTTAAGTGACCCCTATGGTAACACGTAACAGGAAATTTGTTTTCAAAGGGGTCACTTAAAAATTAGGGATTGATGGTGAAAACGGGCATTAGTGGTCCATATCCAGCGCGCCTTTCTGCTACCTTTATGAGGTCGTTGATACACTTTGTGGACGGACGTCCTACACTGCGTTTTCCGGTACGTAGCCTCCATTTCAGAACCTTGCTATCTAGTAACGAAATAGATGTAAACAACTCGTCCTCTTCCAAAACTTGTATCTTGTGGTGTCAATAGAACGTAAACGAAACGTACTAAAAATAATAATATTCGATAACGCAACTGGAACAATAGTATGTAGTTGTATCAATTGGTAAAGAAAGGATATTGGTCTTCGTCCATAAATATTGTTGGCCTAAGAACCAACAGTGATGAAAAATACCTCTCTAAATTCAAAATGACACGACTAGCATAAACGAACAATGACCCTAACGAACACTTCTAAAAACTATTTCTTTAATTTTATAGGATGAGATCAAGGAAGCAGTGAACAAGGCGTGCGACCGCTTGCCGAAGTCCATCGATGGGGAATGCCGCACCTTCGTCACCAACTACGGACCCGCCGTCATCGCTCTGCTGGTGCAAGAGATTGACCCGGCTAGTGTGAGTGTTATTTTTTTTAATAGATCTCAAGCTAAGAGTGGAACTAGGAGGTAATTATTGTCACTTAGATTTGCTATGGCCCTAAATATACCACTGTTGCGGCTCAATCCGTCTATCAAGCGTCTCTAATACTTAATTGCATAACTTGATGATACCATGACCGAGGAAACTCTGTGCAGATTCTGCCATACAGAAGAAGAAACGGCCATGCATGTTCTTTGCTCATGCTTCCCGCTTATGAGCAAAAGAAGTATCCATCTAGGGCGACACATTATGCACCCGGATGAGATAGCAGATATCACGCTCCAAAGAATCTGGAAATTTATAGACTCAACGGGACTAAGCAGTGAACTCTAAAGACAAGGGCTGCCACAATAGATCAAACCTGGTCGAGCTGGTGCAAATGAAGGCCCAAAACCAATAATAATAATAATAATTGCATAACTTATAATTAAATAATCACTTAACTTCCTTTCCTAACTAAATCGTAATTTCTAATACATGTAATTGTTTGCTATTGCTTTGTCGCAGGCGTTTTTAAACTTCATTCTATTTTGTACTGTCAAAATCACTTACCTTCCAGTCGCCGCGCGATACGCACTATTGTAATACATTTTCAAATAATACGAAATATTCATCAAACCTGAGTTTTATTGGCTCCGAATGTCAGCGAAGACAACCACACTATTAATTTACTAGATGCAGGATTTTTTGGTAAATTGTGACTTAACGGCAATCATAGTAGATCGAAACCGGTCGCCTCTGCTATTAAAAAAGTCACTTAGATCGCTATCTTAGATTTTTTTTAAATTAAATACCTACGACTGACAGTTTTCAAGCTGCTGTTACTTTGAAACTAAATCAATGACTCGGACGGGTCATTGATTATTGAGTCGGCTTATACATATGGTTTAAATTTAAAGACGTAATAATTAATTATCCTGTTTTTCTATCTAAGAAGTTTCCTATCTCTGTGAACATTGCTGTGATCCTTTGTTAACCATGTTATTAATGCAGGTATGCCCAGCGCTGGGCCTGTGCGAACAGACTCAAGAAGTGAGGAAAGTGTCCATCAACTTTGAGAAGTCCAACTGCCCGCTGTGCCTGTTCGCTGTCGAACAACTCGAGACCATGCTGAAGAACAACCGCACTGAGGTTGGTAGAAAACAAAACTCCTCGAAGCAAAAAGTTGTCATAGAATCCTACTTCAATTTAAATTCGAAAGATACGTCTTTCTTTAACGTATCTTCATGTTACGAGTTTACGATCTTATGGTCCTTTAAGAAAAAATAAAGATGCCGTAGTAAAAGCAATGAGTGGAGGGACTCCAATTTATCAGAGAAAAATTAAAGACATGGCCTACTTTTCTCAAGCTGTTCAAACGGGTTGCGATGCCTAATGTTCGCCCCTTACGACATTCACGGGAATAGTGGGCGTAGTTCTATTTAACTCTGCCGTACGCAAATAATATTGGCTAATTTTTACAAAACTTGGAAGCTTATCAAGCTCAAGAGTTCACCCGCAAGGTGGACTGACGACCTCATAAAAGTAGCAGGAAGGCGCTGTATGCAAGCCGCTACCAACCGGGCGGTATGGAAGTCATTGGGGGAGGCCTGTGTTCAGCAGTGGACGTCCTGTGGCTGAAATGATGATGTAAGCTCATCCTGTATTATGGCTTTATCCCACAGGAGAACATCCGCCACGCTCTAGACAATCTCTGCACCCACCTGTCAACCAAACTTCAAACTGAGTGCGTGGACTTCGTGGATGCTTACACCAACCAACTGGTGGAGATGCTGGTCGCTAACATGGACGCTCAAGAAGTCTGCGTCTACCTTAAGCTGTGCACGGTAAGACAAGCTAAGCTAGATTTCTTATTATAAATGATGGGTTATAGGTGTTAATTGAAAAATGATAAAAGAATAACAGAGATTTTAATAGATTTACACAGGAACTACAGACACTAGACAGCCTTACAGACAGAGAGACCGGAAACAGCAAGTGACAGATGTCAAAAAAAAAATTGTATTTGCGTTTAGAAATTACAACAATAAAACGTAAAGTACGGCCAACGAGAAGCGATACCAAATGTAAACAAACCCAATGTCATGGGTGAACCCGTCTGACTTTGACATATTTTGGCGGGAGAACGAGACATTACGACAAATACACAAGATGGGAAGAGACAAAATATATTGTCAATTCGACAGTCGTATCGACCTTTTGTATCGCTGCTAGTTGGTCGTACAACAGAATAATAATAAGTACTACGTACAGAAGTTTTACTTCGCGAAGGTATTTAAAAAAAATATGCTCAATGTCATTAACAATATGGTGTAAATTAGCCTGTCTCAAGAGTCAAGCACCATTTTGTTGACAAACGTCAGTGATCGGCACTGCGCCGAAGCTATAGGGCTGACTTCGGTAAAATGATGTGACGTGAGGTGCCAAACTGCGGAAAATGGCGGAGGAAATACATGATTTAGCATGAATTATCATGAATAATATTAACTACTTATTTACCTCTCAGTGTCTTGAGACAACTTAAAAAAGTACATTCTGTGTTTTTATTATTATTTAGGCAGTTAAATACTGCACAGTATTTAGTACACCATTTTCTTTATTTTCTTCCATCATACCCAAGAATACGCGTGCGTGAGTCAATGTTCGCTCGTATGTGAGGCCTTGTCGAATAGTGTCCTGTAGGTGGGCCATCGTGCGTGTTTTGTTTTCGATGTAAACTCGCGGAGATGAACAGGCCTGGTCGTACTTTATACTAAATAAAGTACTGAGATTTAAGTTGGATTAAATTATGGACTAGAAAAATCTTATAACAAAACAAGTTTTATCAGTCATCCTAGAACTATGTGTCAAAAATAAACCCACAAAACCCCTAGTTTAATTTTTTAACCCCTAGATTAATGGAACGAATTATCACGCCTAAGACCCGGTTTCCACCTAGGCGTTCCAACCAATCAGATTTCAAGCATTGTTGTAGAATGAAATCTGATTGGTTATTCAAAACATTTATCCGCCCCGTTCCGCTTTGGTGGAATTCGAGCGGGCCTACGACTCACATAATCTTTGCAATATCAGTAACAATATCAGAGTGGTTCCCCAAAAAATATGTATTTATCTACTATTTTTTATTTCTTCTGAAGGACACATCGATTAAAACCGATCCATTAAAGATCACTCACTCGAGCATCGACAAATTCCACGACAATCCGCAACTGAATGCCGACAGGAACAACAGGAAGAAGTCTATGCTACCCGCACACATGCTCGTGAATGGCGATATCGGTAAGTTATTATTTAACAATTAGCTTTTGCCAACGGCTTCGCTCGCGTAAAATTTAGTTTGTCACATATGGTTATAAAAATCTGTTGAGTAATTTGGCGTGAAAGAGTAATAAATATACATACATTGACAAGTTAAAGTTACTATATGGCCACCACTTTACCCACTATGACGTTGCTTTTTCTTATTCTAGTGTTTGTAATAATTGAAGTCACCGCAACCATACACAAGTAAAAATAATAATTATGGGGCCAGATTTTTTTCCAAAAAAATGTGTTACTTAAAACCTTTAGGTAATGTCCTAACCAAACTGGGAACATGTACACAAAGTAATGGCTACCAGCGGTTATGAAAGCCACTGAATAGCCACCAGATTACATACACGCCAAGACTTATTTCATTTTTAGTGGCTCTTAGAATTTACGTTTTAAAATCCATAAATAAACAATGCAATGCAATTCTCAAGCTTATTTTTGCCTTATGGCAGTGTTATCACTTCTACGAGAATTTAAATAAATTAATTGAATTAGGTATTTATATTGTAACATTCGAACAGAAACGAATGAAATTAAGACTTATTTCATTTTTAGTGGCTCTTGGAATTTACGTTTTAAAATCCATAAATAAACAATGCAATGCAATTCTCAAGCTTATTTTTGTCATAACACTTCTACGAGAATTTAAATAAATCAATTGAATCAATTATATTGTAACATTTGAACAGAAACGAACGAAATTCCCGACGACACCGTAAACGGTCGGCCCATCAACAAGGTGTCGCAGAAGACCGTGTGTGTCGTCTGCGAGTTCGTCATGAAGGAGATCGACGAGCAGATCAAGGATAAACACAACGAGGTGAGTTTACAATAAATTTCAGTGAAACCTACCAAATCTATGTAAGACCACTTATGTAGGGTAAACCAACAGTCATTGGACAAAACAACCGTTGAATTTTCTTTAAATGAATATTCGTTCAAATACAATGAATATTCCTTAAAAAAACGCCCTTTTATCTCCATCAGTCGGAATCTCTCAGTTATTGAAATAGAAATGCTATTTTTAATTCGGTAAATAACTGTCCAATAACTTTCTTAAGTATCCAATGACAGGCAGTTTACCCTACCTGGAATTACGAAAATAAAGAAATTTGATTTGATTTGTACTGTATTACCAATTACCAAGGAATAAGGTTGCTTTCCGTCAACGCGAGTATTGAAATAAATCTTCAAGCTATTTAGGTTTATGATGTAGTAAAGTTGATAGTATAGCAGACTGCTCTGCAGGTTTAATTTTGCCAAAAAATGTAGCAATTACAGCTACATGACGTGCCACTAATAAGCTGTCGTCGTCCGTACAGCACCGACAAACGAACACTTCACCACGTATTAACGTAACTTCGATAAAATATACGTCACGACGCCGGCGAATACGTCTTTTCGCATGCATATTTTATTTTTAGTGTAAATACAAAGTTGTGATAACACTATGTAATGTTAAAAGAAAATTTGTATTAGAGTAGGCGCACACCATTGATTTTTAGTTGGCCGATAGTTGTGCCCGATTTTAATTTGTATGAAGAATCGCCCAAATCGAATCGGCGCAGTGTGCGCACTCCCATACATGCCCATACTGATCAACTGCCCGACTAAACTATCTTCCGACGAAAAATCAACGGTGTGCGCCTACTCTTATTGATTTCAAAGCTAATTGAAACAATTAATTCGCTTTCGAGGGCTAAAATTGCTTCAAAAAAGTCGTCTCTTGGAATTGTTGATTACTATAGTCTGGTCTATGAGCAGAGAATAGCTAGCTAGAATTTTGTCCAATGACCCCAAGCTACCCATCCTTATCGCGCGTAATTATGTTGCTGTCGCGCTCGCACACTCACTGCCTGCGGGCGCCCGTCGCACAGTCGCGATAAGGATGGGTAGCTTGGGGTCATTGGACAAAATTCTACGTGCTCACAGACCGGGCTTTAGTGTCAAATAAAATAATAAATAAATAAATATCCTTAGACATTTTACACTGCGCTTCTAGTCCCAAACTAAGCAAAGCTTGTACTATTCAATGCATTCTGCAACAGGATGAAATCAAGAAGATAGTTCACGGCGTGTGCCGCCACATGCCCAAGTCGGTGCGCGCCGAGTGCGACCAGTTCGTGGAGAAATACGCCGACCTCGTCATCAGCCTGCTGGCCCAGGAGCTCGAACCCGACCAGGTGTGCCAGCAGCTCAAGCTCTGCGACCCGCAGATCATAGCACTGGATGGAATCAGAGGTAAGACTAACAGAATTATTAGAGATGGATAGATTGGTGGTTCTTGCAGAGTAGAACAGGAACTAAGGGTGACAGGAAGAGGTGACTAAAGGAACGCCAAAACTCCTAATCCAGTCAGGCCAAGTGTGATTAATATCATGAGCTAATGCTCAAGCTGTGCGACCCGCAGATCATAGCACTGGATGGCATCAGAGGTAAGACCAACTGAAGAATTAGTCCTTATTAAAGAGATAGATTGGTGGTGAACAGGAACGCCCTTCAAGAGGTGACTAAGGGAGAAATATGCGAACGCCAGACCTAATCCAATCAGGTGGGACCCTCAGATCATGGCGCTCGACGGCATCAGAGGTAAGACCAACTGAAGAATTAGTCCTTTAAAGAAATGGATAGATTGGTGGTTCTTGCGGAGTAGAATATGACAGCCCCTTCTCTTTAAGAGGTGACTAAAGGAACGCCAAAACTCCTAATCCAGGCCAAGTGTGCTATTAGCTCAAGCTCTGCGATCATGGCGCTCGAAGGCATTAGAGGTAAGACCAACTGAAGAATTAGTCCTTTAAAGAGATGGATAGATTGGTGGTTCTTGCCGAGTAGAATAAGACAGCCCCTTCTCTTCAAGAGGTGACTAAGGGAACGCCAAAACTCCTAATCCAGTTAGGCCAGGTGTTAGCTGAAGCTCTGCGACCCTCAGATCGTGGCGCTCGAAGGCATCAGAGGTAAGACCAACTGAAGAATTAGTCTTTTAAATAGATGGATAGATTGGTGGTTCTTGCAGAGTAGAATAGGAACGCTCCTTTTCTTCGAGAAGTGACTAAGGGAGAACTATGCGAACGTCAGATTTTCCCATCTAGCAGGCCAAGTGTGTCATTAGCTGAAACTGTGTGACCCTCAGATTATAGCACTCGATTTGATTAAAGGTACGACCAACGGAAAAAGTACTCATTATTAAGCTAAAGATATGGGTAGAGTATGGTGGTTCCTGCAGTGTAGAATAGGTCTACCTCTACTCTTCCCGATGCGTCTAAGAGAGAAATTGAGAACAACAAGTCTCCCCAGCCCGTAATGCCAGCATGGGGAGCGTAGGCCAAATCCTCCATTTGCCTCTGATCAATTAGAAAGTCGTCCTCCTGTCGTGGAGACTAAATGACCTGATGATGGTAATAATAGACTTTGAAACTAAAAAAGCGTCTGTTTCCCAGCAGAAGAGATCCTGGACTGCGCCGTATGCGAGACGGTGGTGTTGGCCGTCAAGAAAGTGCTCAACAACGATAAAGTGGACCGCAACATCGTGCACATCGTCGAGAAGTCCTGCGCCCTGCTGCCGGCCAAGTACTACGACAGGGTAAGTTGAATACTAACTAACAAATTGCTTACAGGTGGACAAAGAGTGGCTTTGACTCTCCAGCGCAAGTTTTTTGAAATCATTTAACAAAAACACAGATTTTTTTCTGAAAAATGTTTCTTTAGAAGCGTCTATACCTCATCATATCTCTCGTGGCTTGTGTAGACAAACAAACAAAAAATCATAGCGCAAAACAAAACTAATGTGTCCAGCGAGTTAACGAGTTGTCAAAATGACAGATGACGCCCCTCGACCCCCGCGGAATTTTGTGTATAGATGACCCACGCTGAATTGTCCCACCAAACTCAATGACAGGGGGGCGCTACCATCGTTCAACTATATGGTTTCCAACATGGCAAAAATATCGGAATCAGCGATCCGGTATTGACGGTGGCGCCCCACTGTCAATGTCATGCATAGGACAGTTCAGTATTTTGGAACTATAATGTGTCCAGCGAGTTAACGAGTTGTCAAAATGACAGATAACGTGACAGTACCCTGCCCCTCGACCCCCGCGGAATATTGTGTACGTGCTTTCCACCGAGCATAGAAAGCAAAAACATTGTTGACGCAAACAAAAATGTGTAATGAAACAATGTTTTATGTAGACAATTTTGTTGAATGTTGACATGTCTTTGTTGATTGTGTAGGACATAACACGCGCTGTTATGTGTGTTGCTTGTATAAAGACAGGACTCCATTAATAGTGTTTTATTCCACCAGTGCCACACCATGATGGAGATATACGGAGACAGCGTGATCCACCTGATCGAAACCATGGGCGTCAAGGGTGTGTGCCAAAAGATCGGGCTCTGCAGCGCTTCGGAGGCCTTCGTCGTCGATATGCATAAGGGCAACCATTGATTGGTAAGTTTGTGTGATGATAATATTCTTAACGCGTCTGTGCTACAACTGTTCAGATTCAGTTAGGTTATTATGTCACGTGATTAATCATGTCACAGAGTAGATAAGGTCCAAGTGACTCCCTACAGTGGCACTGCCTGCTAACAAACGAAACTTGGGAAAAGTACCCTTTGGAAAAATCATAAGGAGACAACTTCAATTACTAAACAGGGCACATTTATTTGACTCATTTAGATGCAGTGCCCCAGACGACTAAACACTTTCTAAATGATATTTTCATACAAAATAAAAGTCTAAATATGTCATAAATGGTTCAATTTTCCCTAAGGCTCATAGTGTAACCTAGGATTTTGACTCATACCACCACCATACATACGGCAATATTTTTGACAACCTTACAATGTCTGACAAAATAATGTTGCCAGTCTAATGTTTACATTATTTATCTATTGTTTCAGGATAAGCAGGTCGAACAATCTTCGTGAGATTGTAGCCGCATTAGTAATCTCCATTTTAATATTATTATGTAAGTCATGATTTTTTTACCAAAACCATGTAGAATTAAGTTTGGTTTGTTTCAAGAGAAGTATTGTGACTTTTTCTTTCATGTACTTTCTTTTTCGTAGTTTCCTTATTTTACGCTAAGTATTTTTTTATTAATCGTGGATTTATTGGAGACTAAAATTCAATTAGCCCCTATTTTTATAAAATGTGTGTAAATTTTTAAATCCAAAAGTGTACTTATGTTTTATGCGTACAATAATAGCTTCATCAAGTTAAAATAATATCATCTTAACGTAAAGTTGGCTCATAATACATTATAATGTCATATCGTAATAATATGAATAACCGCAGATTATAGCTAACAATATTTTATTGCGAAATGTAATTAACTCACGCTAGCCTGTGATAAGTCATTTGTAAACTGTTTCTATATAAAAAGTAAAGTTTGGAAAAGTATCATTCGTGTTTTATTTCATAGTACGCCCCATTGCAATATGCGACAACGATGTTTAACTAAATTCTGAAATGTATAAAAAATGTTCAAAAATAAATTGACTATTTTATTCACAAGAATTATTTTACATTATAGAAATAACAAGATAGTTACTTGAAAAATAAATATTTACATGATTACGTCCCCGCTAAAAAGACATTGGCATTTTAAAGTGGCAGATGCTAAAAAGAATGCAGCATTATTTTACAGATTGCAATAATCTCTTTATTTACCAGCAATCAAAATGGATTGGGAAGCTTATTCCTCCAGGACAGCAGCTCGTGATTAACGATAGTATTCAATATTTATCGTGCCAGCTCCGGCTCCTTCGGGTTAATACAGGGTGTTAGGTAAATGGGTATATGAGCCGACACTAGCCCATGTTAACATGGTCATATATAAATGGTATGGTGAAGTCAGAAATTTGATGTCATCATTTTATTTTTTTTTAATTTTCATACAAAATAAATTTTATAAAATCCGATTTGTATGAAAATAAAAATAATTAAAATGAAGATATCAATTTTCTGACCTCACCATACCATTTATATGACCATGTTAATATGGGCTAGTGTCGGCTCATATACCCATTTACCTAACATCCTGTATAGTAACCTGTGTTCCGACACGTTCTACTAAATTACTCGACTGGTGCGAACAAGGATAGAGCTGGCAGTAGGCTCGGCGATGTGCTTCAACTTCACTGAACGGTACTGGATCTAATCTTATAGGTATAGATTTCTGCGGGTGACTCTTGAAGCGGAAAGGGCGTGTGACTAGATGCACATAGCTCTCTATATTGACATCAAGCTTTACAAAAAGGTTACTGAAGAGAGATGATCTACCGTAGCTCTCTCTATTGATTTCAAGCCTTCTTCAGTTGAGGAGTGATTCTTCAGATGGCAACTGAACTAATCAATCAAGTAGGTAAAGCTAAGAATAATGAACAGAGTTGGGTCTACTATAGCTTCTTCGATATTAAGCCATCTTCAGTAGTCGGTAGTAGTAGTAGTAAGGTATCTTCAGCTCAGTAGCGACTCTTCAGATGGCAGCGGCATGTGACAACGCCTCCTCCCTATGTCCGAGCGGCTGCGGATCGTAATGTGTCTGAACACCAAAAATGTAGGTAGTCGAGTAGGTTACTAAATCGTTTAATCGAGCCAATCTATTGTGTTCTATTTGGACAGACGAGTACACCCCAACCACGCGTCCAGGCTCACTCGTTCGTATTAGATCTAATATCTTTCTTTCTATAGATTTCTTTGTGCGACTCTTATGGTAGAAAGGGCGTGTGATTAAATGCACATCTCTCTCTCTTTCTATTGATTTCAAACTATCTTCAGTTGAGCAATGACTCCTCAGACGGGAGCGGCGTATGACACCGCCGCTCCTCGCGCTGACCGGGCGGCTGCGGTGCCAGCTCCGGTTCGTTGGGGTTGTGCCGGCGCAAGTATTCAGCCAGCCACAGCACCGGCTCAGCCGGCTTCTCATGAGCTAGTGCCGTTAGAGCTGGTAATAAGGTTGGTGTGATGTGCTTCTGGATGTAGTCGTTTACCTGCCAGTGCCGGGTTATTGGGCCCACGATCACTGGAATAAAGAAGAAAATTAAGTTTCTCCTATAGCACACCTTCGCCGCGAAACCATGAGATCCTATATCAGTAGGACACATGTCTGCGTAGGACATGTTATACATACATTAACGCTACTTGTACTACTGTTTCGGGACAATAATGTAAGAATTAGGTGATGAGAAAAAAGAAAAGAGACTGAAATGCTTGAAAGAGTACAAGTATTTTTCCGAGACGATCGTAATATCACGCAATCAGGAGCATATGAATAAACTAGCGGCCGCCCGCGACTTCGTACGCGTGAATCCCGTTTTACCATTTAGAGGTGGAGTTTCGTAAAATCCTTTCTTAGCGGATGCCTACGTCATAACATCTACCTGCATGCCTCAGGCCAATCCGTCCAGTGAAAATTTAGATGTCAGAGAATCCATCAAGGTACAATTTGTTTTCCACCATTAGGTGTTTGAATCTGGGATCATCTGACCATTTCTAGGTAGTTTCATAAGTAATAAGTACCAAGGGATTCCACTTACTGCTAGGAAAGAAGAAATGTATCTCTCTCAGCGCCTCCGAGTGGTTCTCGCTGCCGTGCACCGCGTTGAAATAATCGCCATACTGCGTGCGGCGACCGTAGCACGCGCGTAGGCTGTCTGGCCAATATGCCTGAGCTTCTGCTACACTGAAAATGAAGATTAAATATTATGTACATAACTGTACATAACCGGTTTCTTTTGGACGACGATTTGACTTATTTCATCCAATGTGGGGCTAACATGTGCTTATGGGTAAAATGTCAGTCACGGCATGCATTCTAGCTAGCCCGGGAGTGTAAGGCCTCAGCCTCGAACTTAGCGGGCAGCGGGGCGGCGGCGGCGGCGGCGCGGGAGCGGGGCGGGCAACGCAGACCCGTTCTCGAAACAAGCGGGCAGCTCGCGCGGCGCTTTAGCGGCGAAGTGTTGTGTTCGGGGTTGTGTTGTCGAGATATTTGTTTTTATTCGCGAACGAAATGTCTGAACAACGGCGACAATTTTATTTCGATTCAAATTTATTCCTTACGCTCGATTTATTGTGGGCAAAAGAAGGAGTGCGCTGCCCGCTCGTTGCCCGCTCCGGCGCCGCTGCCGCGCCGCTGTTTTCGAGAACCGGTCTATTTGATTTTACGCATAAGATCCTGCCGCTCCCGCCCCGCCGCCGCTCCCGCCCCGCCGCCGCTCCCGCGCCGCTGCCCGCTAAGTTCGAGGCTGAGGCCTTAGGTAGACCGCCTGTCAGAGCGTTGCACTCTACAAGGGTCGAAAGATAGTTTTTCCAACTGTGAATGCATACTCAGCATGAATAGTATACAAGTTACATAAAGTTGTAGCTCGTATTGTGCCCTAATTGATACGACGTCAAGAAAGAAGAATACATACCGAGCAGGGCCCATAAGCGTCCGCCACTTCTGTATGCAGTTCTTAGCGGCCAGCACGAGAGCGATGATGGGCCCGTTGGACATGTGGGCCACGAGGTGTGGGAAGTGATGGCGTCCGTAATGGCCCTTGTACAACTCCGCCGCTTGCTCGGGAGTAAGGCGGACGATACGCTTCTGGAATAATCATAATATCTACATTAGCATCTATTATATCTACATCTACACTAATATTATAAAGAGNCGTTGGCGATTGTAGTTAAATAGGATAAGAATTACTTCGTTTTTATTTTCTGTATGTAATTTGTTAATTTTTTGGTAGGGTCTTTATTTTAATTACTTAGGTTGGTAGTTGGTAGGTACTTACTTATTTGATTTTAATGATAATCACTATAGGTACGTATAATTTTAGTAGAAAGAAAGGTCATTGAATGACTAAGTGACTCACTCACTCATCACGAAGTCTCAGAAACTACAAGTCTCAAAAGAGTTCTCATAGGGGTTAATGGTCTATTCCACTTTGATCACCTGGCTTTGATCACCAAGATGATCAAAGTGGACTCCAGTTAAATTATTTTTTTAGTGTTCTTTGATCACCTATAAATAAATTATACCTCTGAATTGTCACATACATGTCCAATTTGTTTATTGCGGTTTTTAGAAAATATCTAAAATGTTACAAAACAAAATATGTACACTCGCGAGCAAAACTATGGAATCACTTAATGAAGTTGTTTCCACGCGATCTTGTGTACTAACGAATTTGTTAGTAACAAAAAAAGTGGCACCATTTTAAAGATTAAACTTTTACCTTTAAATTGATACCAAATTCATTTAAATCACACCAGTATTTAAAAAGATATCGCGGCTGATGTGAAGAAGTATGGAAAAAGACATGTATCATTGTTTGATAC